CACCCACCCTGTATTGTACGTACACAGGCCCGTGTGGGTCCAGAGATGTGATTACAAGGTGCTCTTTAGCGCAATGTCACTCAAAAGGCTTCTCGCGTTGGTTGGTTTGGAGGTGTCTGCGCAGACTGTTACCATGTCTAAATGTCTTGTTGCAGATTATACACTTAAAGGCCTCTCTCCTGTGTGTGTCTGGAGGTGTGTGCCCAAGAGGACCTTTCGAGAAAATTTCTTGTCGCAGAATGTACACTTGAAGGGCCCAGTGTGGTTCAGGAGATGTGTGTCCAAGCTGTTCTTATGAGAAAATTTCTTGTCACATAATGTACACTCGAAGGGCTTCTCTCCTGTGTGGGTCCGGAAGTGAATGCGCAGAATGTGAGCATGTTTATATGTCTTCTTGCAGATTGTACACTCAAAGGGCTTCTCTTCTGTGTGGTTCAGGAGATGTGTGGCCAAGTTGCTCTTATGAGAAAATTTCTTGTCACATAATATACACTCGAAGGGCTTCTCTCCTGTGTGTGTCCGGAGGTGTACGCCCAAGTCGCTCTTTTGAGCAAACTTCTTGTCGCAGAATGTACACTCGAAGGGCCTCTCTCCTGTGTGGATCCGGAGGTGTGGGCCCAAGTGGACCTTTTGAGAAAATTTCTTGTCGCAGAATGTACACTCAAAGGGCTTCTCTCCTGTGTGGATCCGGAGGTGTGTGCGCAGATTATGATCAAGCGCAAACTGCTTGTAGCCTCCTGTGTGGATCCGGAGGTGTGGGCCCAAGTGGACCTTTTGAGAAAATTTCTTGTCGCAGAATGTACACTCAAAGGGCTTCTCTCCTGTGTGGATCCGGAGGTGTGTGCGCAGATTATGATCAAGCGCAAACTGCTTGTAGCAGAGTGAACACTCAAAGGGCTTCTCTCCTGTGTGGGTCCGGAGGTGATTGCGCAGAATGTGAGCATGTTTATATGTCTTGTTGCAGATTGTACACTCAAAGGGCCTCTCTCCTGTGTGTGTCCGGAGGTGTGGGCCCAAGTGGGACTTTTGAGAAAATTTCTTGTCGCAGAATGTACACTCAAATGGCTTCTCTCCTGTGTGAGTTCTCATGTGATTCTCACGGTCCCTCTTGCAATTAGAGGAAAACTCCTTGTTGCACAGGTCACATCGGTATGCCATAGTGGTATAAAAGACTCGGAGACTAGAAATAAAAAGCATGAAAAGGTAAACATGTGTTCTTGACCTGTGCTCAACTTCAACCTGAAACTGGGTTGCGAGTCAGAAATACCAAGCGTGAACGCTGATTACCTGTTCGCCTTTTCGGTCGCCACAGGTCCGTCGTTGGTGTGCGTACCGCACGTACTCGCTGCTCCAACTAGGTAGGCGTTGAAGACTTGATTGGGCGCTGGAGTATTCACCCTGGCGGACACACTGCCCAGGACGCCGAAGAGGTCCAGGTCGCCGATCACCGCTCCGACGGCACGCACGGACACAGTTGGACTGACGCAGTGCGGGCAGCGGGCGGACCGTCGGGGTCCTGGTCCTGGTCCACCGGGGTCTTCTCCCCGCCCGGGGCGTGGGGCCGCCCCATCCGTCCCCTCACTGGGGATCCCCGGAAAGGAAAACACCGGCATGCCCAACACCGGACCGCCGCCGCCGCCGCCGTCGCCACAACCGAACGACCTGCACTGTTAAAAATTATGTACCCAGAAACAGAATTTATACATATCGTCCTGTACTTCCATACTACGGTCGAAATCTGTTTGACTGGTATTTGAGGGATAAAGATTTAACGTTGCTTGAAAAGAGCCTTCCCCCAGAATAAAGTTCAGTGCTCAGCTTACAGGATTACACTCTGTTCAAAATGATCAGTCCATTCTGTAGTTATTTACTGTTGTAATTTTTAACAGTGTGTGTCCCTGCTAGGGGAGAAAGAGCGGGAAGGTAGAGACAGTCTCGAGGACTCTCTGGAAAAAAAAATAGCCGACAGGGCTAAGCCACAGAGACAGTCCCTGCTCCAAGCCACAAAGCACCCCCCTCAGTTTTAAGACAATCCCCAAGACTGTCTCTACCAGAAGTAGAAAACGTGCATCCCCCCTCGCTTTTTTCGTACATCTCAAGTAGCTACCTAATACAGGGTGGGTGATACGCGC